TTTATACTAAAATAAAATTTGTTTTCAAGTTTCAATAATAAAAAAAAAAAAAACAAAAAACTACTAAATAATAAATTACATGAAAACTTCTCTATTTTTCATGATCCTATACGAAAAATTTTATAAAAAACAAAGATCAAAATTATTCTAAACAATGTTCATATTAATTCTTGAAAACATTATAAACTAATATATATATATATATATATGTATGTATATATAAAATTTTATTTAAAATAATTTATTTTCTAATATTTGTTTTCAATATGCTATAGTAGTTTTTATTCACTTCCGGCAAAACTACAATTTAATTTTTTATTAATACTTTTACAGAGTGAAATAGAAAACGAAATTTATTTTTTTTTTATTCTGTTTTTTAAATTTATTATATGTATGTTGTTTTAATGTATTTATATTTTAAATAAAGAACATAGGGTGTTGTTCTATCTATTATAGGTGTATTCGTGCAAAATATTTCAAAACTAACAATTATAGAAATTAAATTAAATATTCTCATAAAAATATTGCAATGGAAGTTGAAAATTTCTTATTACTTATTAGGCTCTTATTATAAAAATATTATTTGTCAATTCAACCTCTTAAAATATTTGTATATATGTAATTGTATTAATTTTCTTTTGTTCAAGACGTATAGGGTTTCGATCTTTATGGAAAAATAGAATTTTTGTCTTAGATGGAGAACAAAAATTGTCATATATGTCCCAAGCTGCCATATTTACCTAAAAAATACAATTTCTTTAATTGCTACAATTTTAGAATAATCAAATGCTGAGTAAATTAAAAGTTTCCAAAATTGTTAGGAATTATTCTAACATAACATTTTTTTATACTTATATGAACATTTCCCATGCTTTAAAAATTTTTATTTTGTATTTAAAATAAAAAACACCCTTTGCATATAATTACATTCATTATATATGTACATACATTGTGTATGCCTATATATATAATGTGTAAGTAAAAACATAAAATGAAATTTCAATATTGTAATATTTTTTTTTTTTTTTTTAGAAAAATCTAACAAATTTGATTTTTCTTCTTTTGCAATTTTCTCAATAAAAATAAGAAATAAAAAAAAAATGAATGAAAATTATATACAATATACATATATATATACATATTTGTATATGTCATTCAATATGCAGCAGCGTATAACAGTATATTACAGGTTATCGTCATCATCAAATGCACCTAGGGCAATGAAAAAATACAAAAACAAAATACACAGAAAAAAAAAATCTGTTATTTTTTTTTGTTTTCTTTTTTTTTCCATCATCTTGTTGCATTAAATCATTTTTGTTGTTTTACAATATTATTATATAACAAAAAGTAAATTGTAAAAAAAAAGGGGAAAAAATATTTAGGGCAGTATATTATATATCTATGTATATATACTTTACATTTACATACTTGTATACACCCATATTCGTATCAAGTATATTTATGTATGTAAATATGTTCGCATTAAAAGTAAATATAAAAGTTTACTAGGGATTTTATAACATAAAACCTATAAATGTAACTATTTATGTAACAAACTTACTTACATGCAAATTAACAGATGAATGAGCACAGTTTTATATATGTTTGTACATTGCATGTATGTATATATATTACATAAATATTGTATGTATATACCTATATGAAAATAAAATTATGAAAAAATACTAAAAGAATTCTTTGACATTATTATTTCAGTAATAGTAATAAAAAGGAAGTTTTAAATTGATATTATTAAAGAAAAAAATGGTATAACAAACGAGTAATTCATATACTCGTATGTATGTATATATAGAGTCATTTTTAACTTAAAATGGAATGCAATAATTTACTTTCTATGAAAAATTATATTAAAATAATGCGTGTGTAAGTGATTTTTAATTTGTCTTTTTATGTTTTTGAATTTATAGAATGATATTGTAAAGGTATTTTGTTTCAACATTTTATAATATCATCAGGTATTGCAATACCATACAAATTTGTCACGAATCCAATGCAAGTTGCTAAATATTTTTACTTTACGTTTACTCTTTCAATCAGTAGTATTATAAAGCGAATCTAATGCTGTGATATTATATAGATTTGTAATACAATATAACAACTATATCATTATTGAATGGTTGAAATTTAGAATATCAAATAAATTTATAAATAATATAAATAACACAACCTCGTAAGCTACTTAAAATCGTTTACTTTAGAAAAAATATATAACTTTCCATATGAATATTAAAAAAATTTATTCATCAAACGTTTTCATTTCAAATTCTCATTAATTTTAAAACGCCAATGGATTTTTCTGATTTTATTTAATAAAATAAATTGAATGACATCAAATTCGCAACGAATAAAATCCTTGAGAAATATTAGATGTCAAATCCATACCTACATATAGTATGTACATAAGATTGGAAGTTAAAATATATGTATATATAAAAATCTAGGAAAGTTTATTGCAATATAATATATAAAAAATTCCTATATATTAAAAACTTAAAACGTATGAAATATATTGGTTTCTTGTATAATAAATGTTATTCTTCGCTAAAATTGAAATTTTTTATTAGAAAACACACGTACATGCGAGAATTTCTTAAACATATTATTTATGTTTTGCAGGAACGAGATTTTTTTTTTTAACATTTTCTTTTTAATTGTGAGTATTTTTTTTTAACATAATATAGACATGAGTCCTTTGGATATTTTCATTATTTTTATATTTTGTCCTTATACATTATATTTGTGAAAACGTAACTGATTAAATTTCTTTTATTTATTTTTAAAATTTTTATTATTTCTCCTTTTTAATAATATCCATATTGCAGCAAAAAGAAATTTTTATATACACAAATAATAATGCTATACTAGTATAAAAAAAAAAGTGAAATTTTAATTTAATGAAAAAAGAGAAAAGAAAAAATTAGTGTAAGAAATTGTGTACAAAGAACTAGAAAATATTTTTTATGTTTGTATTTATACCCTAACAAATTATATCCTTGAAAATTGTGTAATATTGTAACATGTCTGGAATGAGAATTTTTTTTTCTCATAATATTATTAATTTATTATGGTCTTGTAAGTTTTATAAGTAAATAGAAAAAAATCGCTTTAATTCGTCATATAAGAAAAAAAACTTTAGTTCTAGAGTTTTTTTTTCATATGATTTTGTACTTATATTGTTAAAAGATAGAGAATTTTTTTTTTATAATTAAAAGAAATGAAGGAAGGAACTATATTCTAAATTAATTTCTGTCACTATATTTTTAAGAAATATATGGTGGAGTTTTTAACGCTAATGCGACATTTAAGAAAATTTTCAAATACATACAAAATTATTGCAATCTATGAAATACTTGTATGTTATAGATTGCGATTATTATATAAAATTGATCTCATATTACATACTATGTCAATGCGTATAACAAGATTGTATCACGTTGTCCAATATGAGTTGTATTAATCACATTTTAGTATTTTTTTCAAATCAAAATAGATCCTTTGCTTTTAAGTGTGATTTTATTCACATCACCTTATCTTGGGAAAATAATTTAGAGTCAAATTGTTGTTCATAATTATTCTTGATTCGATATTCCTGCTATTTATAAAATAAAAAATTTAATAACTTGCTTATTATTTTTTAATTATGCTCGTATAAAATTTGTTCATAAAATTTGTTTATATAGTTCAATTATTTAAACTGTAATAAAAAAATTATGCAATAAAAATTTTATTTTTTTAACTTTTGGTTTACAAACTCCTGTTTAAAACAGTATACAAGATTTTACTTTAAAAACTTTAGGTTGTTCAAATTTTAAAATGAAAAGTTGGATTTATAAAAAGCAAATTTGATATTTAAATTATATGGAGTTTAAAATTTCTTATTTTAAATGCTAAAGTTTTCGATTTAAAATGTAAGTTTTACTATGGGTAAAGGACTTTATGTTATGTGTACGTAAATAAAAAGTATACACAAAATTTATTCAAGCTTAAAATATAACTGAAAATTGCATTTATTACAAAAATGGCTTCAAATTAATATAAAATTGTATATTTAAATGTATATTTTAATAAATTATATTGGAGTATAGAGTTATAACTCTATGGTATAATAAGTAATAACAACAAAATTTTAACATACCCATAGGCTCTTTAAGGTTTTATATCTATTTATTTTAAATTTAAATTGTATATTTTTACTTTATTATTTATATTGCAAAAAAATTGTAAATTGTATATTTACAACAATTAACGATTTTTTTGCAAAAACAGAAAAAAAAAACAATTATACGAATAAACTTAAAATTACTTATATTTCAAATAATAATTTTACTTTAATATTAAAAATATTTTGTATAGCCTTTTATCACGTAAACCAAAAACATTTAATATGAATAAAGGGCGCGACAAACGATACACCCAATAAGTTTTTTTTTTTTTTTTTAATTGAATTTTACTATAAGTGTAATTTCATAAATTAAAATATAAAACCTATTGGAAAAAGTTATGAGACAGATAAGCATAACAAAATAAAAAATAATGAAATAAATTATTAAACTTTTATTTAACTCTTTTTTTTTTTAAACTAAAAAAAATATACAAGTATATACTTACATATACAGTTCAAAAATCAAAATTAACTATACTTACAATATTAAGCGTGGCAAAATTCATTGAGGACATGAAATTTTTTTGTTACCAATTCTCGTGAGTTTTTTACATTATTTTTAATAATTATATTGTTATAATAGAGTTTGTTATACTTTATTATACACGAGTGACTAAAATTACCTACAACAAAAATTTTTTCGAAATAGTGACTTATCTTTAAAATTTTTGATATCTAACATTATTAACAGAAATATTAACCGAATTCTGCTTAAATTCACCAAGAAAATTTTAATTTTTTGATTAATAAATATTTTTATAAATTTCTCAATTCTTCCAGTTATTAACTTTCTTTTTTATTTTTCTCTTTTCAGTTTCCTTGATGATTTGGATAGATTAGGTGCAAAAGATTATCAGCCCACTGAACAAGATATTCTTCGAACTCGTGTTAAAACAACTGGAATTGTTGAAGTTCATTTTTCATTCAAAAACCTAAACTTTAAGTATGTTAAATTATAAAAAAAAATTTTTTTAAAATTAAAATTTTTTTTGTAATCAAAAAATAATTATAATAAAATCTTTATCAAAAATAATAGATTATTTGATGTTGGTGGCCAAAGGTCGGAGCGTAAAAAATGGATACATTGTTTTGAAGATGTTACTGCGATTATTTTTTGTGTAGCTATGTCTGAATATGATCAAGTTTTACATGAAGATGAAACTACGGTAATATTGTTATTTATATAAATGTTTTTAATTATGTTAAATAAAAAAAAGAAATATGAATTAAATTTTTTTATATTTTCAGAATCGAATGCAAGAATCCTTAAAATTATTTGATTCAATTTGTAACAATAAATGGTTTACAGATACTTCAATCATTTTATTTTTGAATAAAAAAGATTTGTTTGAAGAAAAAATTCGTAAAAGTCCTTTGACAATCTGTTTTCCAGAATATACAGGTAAATTTTGAAAAAAACCAAAAAATAAAAAATATGAATTTAATAGAAAATAGAAGTGAATGTTTTTAAAACTAATTTTGAAATTAATTAAAATTTTAACATTAATGATATTTCAAATTTTTTTTTTATAAACAATAATTACTTTCAATTTATTTTAAAAAAGATGTACATGAAAAATAATGCAAAAACAATTTTTTTTTTATAGAAAATTTTTTCGTTTTTATTTCACAATGAAAAATTATATTATTCTTTTTGATCGCGTGAAATAAAGCAATTAACTATATAGGAAAACAAAAATTATGTTTCAACAGAGTCGGCAATATTCGTGTATTAAAATAAACAATTCATTTTTATAATAAACAGAAAAAAAACATTATTGGAAATTCTATTCTTTCTTAATTATTAAAATTTCACAAAATTCCTTTTTTGCCAAGAAATCATATTCTGAAATTGCAACTGCAATTAAACTACAAACACATATATCGTAAACATTCAGTTACAATTTCTTGAAATAAGAGTTGCTCTACAGTCTACAGTCTACATTGTTAACGTATATACATAATGCCGCCATTTAATTTTCAATTAATTATTTATCAATTAATTTTAAAATTTAACATATTTTGTTTTGATTTTCAATAAAATAAAATAAATTTCATAAAATATCGATTTTAAGAAATATATTTTAAGTAACTAATCCTAAAAAATTAGTTAAATTTTTAAATATTTAGGAACCAAAATGAAAAAGTTTCACTATACAACATTAGCAATAATGTTTCTAATTTAATAAACAAACAATACCAGATAAAAAATTAAAAATGTTTGTGAATGAAAAATATTTGCATGTACATAAATAAAATAATAATTTTGTTTTTTTTTTTTTTTTTTTTTTTTCAAAAACAAAGCTTATGTCATTTCTAAATTTTTATATTTGAAACAAAGAGCACCCATTATACAATTAAATTGATTAAAATTTTGCAAAAAGTTATTTAATTTTTCAATATTTAAGTATTCTAGTCACAGACACGCAATATTAACATACATACATATGCACATACATATAGATTAACTTTAATATTCATTCATTGTACTGTTATACATATATAATTTTATATGGTATATATATTAAATAAAATAATAAAGAAAGCAACAAAAGAAAAAATTAAAATTAAAATCTATTATCACTTATCGTTTTAATAATCTGACGCCGAAAAATTTCAATCTAAGTCTCGAATTTATTACACATACTTACATTTAAATACAATTATTCATAAATAATGAATATATTAGAGGGCAATGAATATAAAATATAAAAAAGAAAAACTCTTTTTCTGTTTTTGTTTTTTGGTTTGATAATAAAAACAATTAGATTTCCCTCCTTTAAAATAATGAAAAAATAATAAATATTATATTTTTATACCCATGTATTTCAAAACAAATTGTTGAAGGATACATTGGTATATATACATATATTTGTATGTATGCACAAATATAGGTAGTATTAAAAAATATAAAATAAAGAAAATTTTCCTTTGTTGGAGTTTTTTCTTGGTTCTCATTTTCATTTTAATATTCAATAACAAAAAACGAGAATAAATAAAATTTAGGCCTTTGCATGTTCATGAAATAAAAGTTCATTATTCCTTCAATCACGCAAATTCATCCAATTTTTTGATTTCTTTTACAGTACTAAAACTATAAACCCATTTAAAATAAAATAATTCCTTTTTTGTTTTTTAGTTTTATTTTTAATTTTATACTTTTTTTTTTTTTATTTCTTTCTTTTTATTTCATTTTATTTCATTTGACTTCATTTAACTTTTTTTTAAGAATATTCCAAGGAATAAAAATAAAAGAATAACTAGTAATAAAAATAGGAAAATTATCGTTATTTTTATAATGTTACCTAGTTTGTCCACTCATAATATAGATTTTTATATATGTACATATAATATGTATATATAAATAGGTAAATGTACTTACATGTATACCTATTTTATAGTTTGGAATAATAGAAAATTCTAGAAATACATAAGTACCTACATAATATATTAATTTATTATTGTATTTATTAAATATTTTTGTCCTTTTTTTGAATAAAATTTATAAATGAAATTGTTTTTCTTAAATTATACATTCGTTTGTACATATGATTCTCATAAAATTTTTTAAAATTTTAATTTATTGAAATTCGAAAAAGGAACTAAATTATTTATCAAAAGTAATATTGTATGAGTTAGACATTTTTAGGTATTCATTTATTTATTTTTAGAATTGTTTTTGTTATTTTTATTCAAAAATTATTATAGAAATTCAAATTCGAATTACTAATTTTAATTTCAAATAATTATTAAATTAGTTGTATTCTATTCATAGATTATAATTATAATATATTTATAGATTAAAATAATCTAGTTAATTTGGCAAAATAGGTGACGAATTTGAAATTCAATTAAACAATTATAGCTTTATGAATTGTTTTTGAAAACAATTAAATAAATAAAAATTGTTTTATTAAGGAAAACTTCAAATTATTTAATATAATATATAATTAATTTTAAATTTTGTTAATTTAATGTACAAGTTGACAAATGGCATACAAGTTGTAGAAATCATTTTTTTCATTATTTTTACATTTACATAATTGATTCCTATATTAGAATATTCATATAAATATTAATTATTAATATTGATTTTCAATCAAATTTAATTAACTCTTGATAATTAAATCATTTTTCAAAGTAATCGTATTTTTGTTTTTTAAAATTTTGCACAAAACTATTCTAAAATAAATAGCTTATCCTATTTTATTCGCATAGTAAATATTTTTTCTAATTTTCTTATTTATTTTCCATTAATATAATATACTACATAAATGTATCTGTTTACAAATTATTTATGTATATTACAAATGATGGACATTTTAAAATTAATATATTTTTTCTTTTATTTTTTGTTCATAAAGGGTTATAATTCACATTATCGTCAGTAAACTACATATTATTATAAAGTTAATGAAAAATAAAAATATAAAGGAAATAAACTTTGACAGTTTATTTTGAAATGTTATGATTGAAAAAGACATACATACATACATACATATTTATTTCCACACTATTTTAATATTTTCATATTTACATTCAAAATAATTTTAGTTTTTTTTTTTTTTTAAAATTATCCCAATGGCAATTACTTAAAAAAGATTTCTGATATTTTTATAAATAAGGTTCTTTTCAATATGCATTTTATTTTTTTTATTTATACGTACAAAATATATAAAATAGATGTACATATATATTTTTAATACATACTGACAGAGAACTCAAAAAAATTCCTTAAATAGTAATTAATAATAAAAACAAAAGAAAATCTATAGTCCTTGAAAGAAACTTAATATTTTGTATCCTTTATTTTTCCTTTTTATGGATTTAAAGTGTAAAATCTTAAAATTTGAAAAAAATTTAATAATTTTTCTAAAAAAATAATATTTTAAAAAATGTATACCTAGAGTAGTGAGATTTTTCTTAATTTTTTATATTTAAAAATATTTTTTTTCCTATTTTTCATTGTTATACTTTATAAAAGTGTTAATTTTCTGTCTTAATCTTATCACGAGTTTGCTAAAAATTCATCAATTTACTGAAAAGAAATAATATTTTTCTTAAATTAATATTTTCTGAATAAAAATTATAAATGTTTCAATAATTAATTAAGAAATATACGTGTATATATATTAATGTATAATAACTAATAATGAGTTCAAATCACTTGTATTATGATAATACTATTTTACAATATTATGATAAAACTATTAAAAAAATAGAATTTAAAATAAAATTCTTTAAATGTAAAATTTTTAATGAAAATACATTTTATTTTATATATTTAAGGTGGTCAGGAGTACGGTGAAGCAGCAGCTTATATTCAAGCCCAATTTGAAGCTAAAAATAAATCAACCTCAAAAGAAATTTACTGCCATATGACATGTGCTACAGATACAACTAATATTCAATTTGTATTTGATGCTGTGACTGATGTCATTATTGCAAATAATTTACGAGGCTGCGGTCTGTATTAAAAAATTCTTTATAACCAGTACCAAGTAACAACCATATTAAGAATATTAAAACAGATACACATGGAAAATAACTTAAAAAAAAATTAACAAAAGAAAAACAATAATACATTTACAAAACAAAAAAAAAATTGATTGAATACAAGTATGTAAATCTGTATGGATACCCCTCCCAGTCTTAGCACAAAATTTCAAACAAATCAAGAAAAAAAAAATGCATTGTGAATGAGAATAAAACAAATTAATATAAAAGTATAAAATTTCAAATAAAAAAAAAAACTATGTTATAATAAAAATTTAAAAAGAAAAATTATATAAATAAATTAAAAAATAAATTAATATTATATAAAACTAAGTATAAAATTGAAAATTTAAAGAACACTTTAAAAATGAAAAAAAAAATAAACAAATAAAATAGTAATAATATTTAAGAATGAGATATAAAAACCATGAAGATTTTGTTTAGTTTATTTTTATTTCCATTTGCATATTTATAATAATATAATGCACATATTTAATATATAACTTCTTATTGATATATACTAATTTCTGTATATATACATATACGTTGTTTACATTTAAATATGTGGAATATATTTTAAATTATGGATATAACATTCATATAACATATAAAATTATTTAGAGTTAAATATTTTGTCATTATCTTTAAAAGAAAACCAGAATTAAAATTTCCAAAAGTTAAGAAGAAAACAAACATTAAAAAATAATTAAACAATATTTTCAATAAAATTGTAAATTAAATAAATATTTAAAAACCAAAAATTGGAAATATTAAAAACATCATTTACATATAACATATTAAATTTAATTAAAGAAAACAGAAAATTTTTAAATAAAGAACTTATCAGTTTTTATTCCCTTTATATCTTACATATTATTAATTTTGTATTCTAGGATTTTGTTAAACATAACAGTTTATAAATTTAAAGTTTTATATAAAATGTTCTTTGAGAAAAAGTTAAAACTATAATAATCTAACAATTAATATATTTTTTTTAAAGTTAGACTTTGAATCATGTCATTTTTATTTTATATTAAATCAATATTTATTCTTGTATTAAAATTTTTATATTAAAATAATAATAATTGAACTGTTTTCACTAAAATCAATTAAACCTACTTAATTGTTTATTGATTAAAATTTAAATTTCATAATAATAGCTATAAAAGTAATATAATATTTCATAAATACATAATTATTAATATAATTATATTTTAAAATTAACTTTATTTTTGAAGGTGCTAATATTGTTATAAAAATGGAAAATTTGTAAACGGTTATGTTTTTCAAAAGTAAAGTTATAAATACATACATGCACGGTCTATATGGCCTTGAAGGCTGATTCATACATGTATGTAAATTCATTTATATTATTTAAATTCATTAATAGTAAACTAAGACAAGAAAAAAATAATTAAAATATTATAAAAGAAAAAAAATACTGTACTAAAAATTTTATATAGCTGCAAACTGAAATACATCGCCATGCCATAACAAAAACATTTATATATTGATTTTTCTTTTTTATTATTTTATATTTTTGTCTTTCTTATCAATCTATTTATTACAACAAAATAATTTATTAATTGCTTATATATTAGAAAATAAAAATAATTTTTCAAAGCACAAACAAAATACATGCAAAACTTATTTGAATCAAATTTTTAAAGAAAATCTATTTCTTTTTTTTTTTATTTTTATATAAACACAATATACTTATGAATTAATTTAAGAAGATCTTTAAAAATTGCTAAGAATATTGTAATCATCTAAACAATATAACAAAAAATTAAAACACGTGCCATTCCAGAACAAAAAATAATAAATTATTTGAAATAAACTGAAATTGAATTTGAAAAGAAAACGAACGCATAGAATGCAAGAAATTAAAAGTTTTTTTCTTCAATAAAAAAAATAGTCTTTTCTTCTATTTTAAAAATAATTTTAATTTTTTTTCTTGAATATTAGCTACTCTTTTTTTTTATTAAACTATTTTTAATACTTAATTATAAATATACCCGATTAGTATAGTAAAAATATTAAAAATATTAAAATTAATATTAATTGAAAGTTTGTTTAAGTTATACAAAATATTTTGAATTATTTTAAAATTATTATTTTGAATCATTTTGAAAAAAAAAATTATTTTTATAAAACTTACAAAATTGAAAAGTGATAAAAGTTGCTAAATGAACACAAAAAATGAGCAGGCAATTAGCACATGCATAAAATAATATACGTACACAAAAAATTGTAAATTAAATTTTTTTTTAAAATTTCAATTTTAAGCACAAATGATCAAGCAAAATATTTTTTTTTATATATTATTAAGTTTAAAATGAAAAGAATTATATAAACTAATCTTGATTTTGTTGTATAGTTACGATCCTATCTTTGCATTATGCAAAAATAAATACGAAAATATGGTTATAAAAGTTGCAAATTAATATTTTCAATTTAAAAATAATTTCAAATTAAATTCCTTTAATATTGTTTTAATTAATTATTTTATTCTCGCACAAAAATATACAAAAATAATGATGTTTAGGTTACAACAAAATCTTGAACAGAATATATACAAAACGTAATAAAGGGTATTTCTAATTTAATATCATGTAATATGAAATTATATAAAATTGCATTTAAAAATCATTCCTTGCTTAAGGGAAAAGTATTAACGAAACATACATAATGATCTATAAAAAAACATTCAAAACCAAAAAGCAAAAGTATTTTTTTTTTATTTTATTTTAATATTATATAATTGAAGTAATAACGCACACATTGTCATAAAAGAATTCTTTAAGATTATTTTAAATCATACAAAAATTATTTATATTTTTAGTTACCTATTTATTTTAAGCAAAAAAAAAATACTATTAAGTAAATTAAATAACTTTTTTTTTATTTTCTTTATTGAATGGACATTAAGCGTGCTGCATAAAATAACAAGAAATATATTGTGGCAATTTATTAATGCTTAAATAGCTATTATGAAAGGAATAAACATGATATATTGAAAAGACTGAATTTTTTAATAAATTTGTTCAAAATTAAAAAAAAAGGATAATCACATATATAAAAAACCGAAATTAATGTAAAATTTAATTTTTTTATTGTTAAAATTATTTTATAAATCGCAAAAAACTGTAGCATATTCTAATTGGGCAACGCAATCTAAAACGTATTCTATAATTTTATTGGCGGCATAATTTTAATCAAAAAAAGAGGAGCTTTAAAATTAAAGTAAATTTTTTTAAGAAAGTAAAATATGTTTTATTATTTGGCTAACTTAAAAAATTTCAATATGCACTTTTCTATATTATATTTTCAAGTTATAAATTCATATTGGCGCTATCTTAAGTAAACACAATCGTGTTTTAGATAATTGAAACTTCTATATTTTAGCGCCAACATATATAAGTATTCACATTAAAGAATTATATATATGAAATAAAATTTAATTTAATATAAAACATTAAATAAAAACGTTTAGAATAGCTCGCAAGGATTGTTTATATATTAGAATCATTCGAAACAGAAAATTACTAGTTATTCTAATATATAATAATCTAAATGTATAATAAACTTGCGAGGGTTGTTTATATACGCTGTAATTATTGAAAACATTGAATATCCTATTATTTGATTATGTATCTTTTATTTTGATTCATGGAATTCAGTTAAGAATTGAAATTTCTTAATAATCTAACTCTTGAATTTACTCAATTAATATTGAATAATAATACATGTTATGAACCAAAAACAAAATTTAAAACAAATAAGTGATTATCTTTTTGTAAATTTATTAAAAAAGAAATTGTCTTTCAATCATTCAATCTCTAATAAATGTTATAGTTTTCATTTTCTAAGCATTTAATGGCAAAACTAAAATATTACAAGCAATAATATAGTAAAGCATACAATCAGTTAAAATAAGATATAAACAAAATAATTTAAAAATTAATTTATCATGTTTATCATAAAATAGTTTCTGTACCCACTTTTTAATAAATTATTTTAATTCACTATTTAAAATCTTTTTTGTCACATTTTTTAGTTAAAGTTAAAAGTAATGCTACTATGAATTAAATAAATTAATCATGCTTTTCAAATAGAGCCTAAATTCATTATTTTGACTATGTGAAGCATATTTTTAAAAGATATCCAAAAAAAATCTTTTAAAATGGAATTTATTGCTTGAAAATTCAATTCCAAATGCTAATAAACATGTAACTTTTAAAACATATGCATTACAAATAAAAATATATGTCACAAATACACAATTGCCATCATTAATATGATGAACATAAATGCCAACATACCAAAAGTGAATATTTGAAAAAATAAATAAAGTAAAAAATTGAAATATTACTAATACAACCAAAAATACTACCTGTACCATAAAGTAAAAATTTATTAATTTAAAAGATCTTTAAATATTCAAGTTGTAATATTATTATTTAAAATTTTATTAAAAATAAAACAAAAAAAAAATTAATTCTTTTTCGGCATTGGTAAATTTTCGTATTACGGACGTAAATGTTATAGGTAATTCAGCGAAATATTTCACTTTGAAATTATATTGTACAAAAAAAGATTTCAAATGAGCTCTTTAATTTTTCACATCATTGCATTGTTTTAATAAAATTGATTTACTATTTGCAAAAATCAAATGCTATACAATTTTTTTTAATTATGAAATAAAGAAGTTTTTAAAACAAATATCATTATTTCATTTAATTTTTATATATTTTTTATTAATTTTCTTAAAAAATTCGAACACTGCCACGTTTGTAGTTGATAAGTGAAAAACATAAAACCTAAAGAAACATTAAATATAAAAAAAAAACGAAAGTATCACTTAAAATAATCAGTATCACAATATTTAAAATATCAATTACAATTTCATTAGAAATATCTCTATTTTGTATGTACCATTAAAATTAATTTGGATTTCTAAATTTTAAACGCAGAATTACTTAAAAATAAAATATTTTTCACCCACATTCCTCATTTATATACCAATTAGAATGTTTCGCATATGCCACTGAAAATTTCACTTTTTTTAATATAGTAATTAAATCGAAAGCTAAATGGAAAAAATTTTCTGAAACTTGAATGCACTAAATAAATTATGACCAAAAATTATAAATAAAAACTTTGAATCACAATGAAAATACCTTTTTTGAATTAACAATGTTCACTTTAAAAAAAAATCAAAAAATTTTCTTTGCAAATAAAATTTTTATTTAAACTTACGTTTTCAATAAATCAAAATTTATACTAATTACCAGTGTGTTTTCATAAT